GCGCGCGGGCAGGCAGGGGCGACGCGCGGGCTGCGAAGGGCAGCGCGCGGGCTGCAAGGGCGGCCCGCGGGCTGCAGAGCGGCGAGCGGGCAGTAAGGGGCGGTGCGCAGGCAGGAACGGCGGTGCACGGGCAGGGCAGGGCAGTGCGCGACCAGCAGGGCAGCGCGACAGGCAGGGCAGGGCAGCGCACGGCCAGCAGGGCGGCGCGACTGTCAGGGCAGGGCAGGGCAGTGCAACCGGTGGGGTAGGGCGCTACGGGCAGTGAAAGAATCGGTGGGCTCTAGGAATCAAACGGTCCTGGAACAGGACTTGCTTTCAAACCATGTCAAAGAATTGAACGAGAATGAGTTGCATTGACAGAAAGATGGGTACAAGTACTAACCCTAAAGTTGGGTTATACCCCTTATGGGCTACCCCACTACAGCCTACACAACACAAGCATCATATATTTTGACATTTGTTCCTCCCGTAAGGCTCATCCCCTTTGGCATCTGACATGGCATTGCACATGAAAGGGCTCTAAAGGAATCAAACCCTTTCTCTCCCATGTGTAGCAGGTGACAAGGCATTGAACAAAAGTGGATAATGTCCGGACGCACTGAATAGAGGGAGAATGTGAAGCTATGCAAGTTAGATATGTGGGATAGAAAAGGAGGTAAAAATATTAAATGGTGCAGACTTTTAAGTTGAGACTGTAGTGGTTTACGAGCCTGATATTTGTTGTTCCATGTAGAAATCAGATTCTGATAATGACTGAAGCTCTTCCACAACGTAGCAAATATCATGCATGAAAGCTAAGAATTTCGGAAGATGTGATACGCAAAAAGTATGTGCCCATAGACAAGCTAAAGCAATCGTTACTGGTTCTAGTGAACTTGGCCCAAATTTCTTGTTCCATCTATCTGATCTCCAAAGATTCTACCTGTATCCCTTCCAAAACCTCGATTTCCCCAAATATGTTTCATATGGCACAAACCATTGGTACCAGAAGCGCTAGGTAAACCAATAAGGTGCATATGAAAACAGAATTGACTACGTGGAAGAGCCACTTGCCATGCCCTCGCGCTCCGCACGTGCCATTTCAGCAGTGAAGCTGGAGGGGCCAATGGAACTCCCAATTTCCATGTCGATGCGAGATATGGCATCATCCGTATGGCTCTCATGAGCTCCACACGCCTCCTGCTTCAGCTTCACCAGCTCTCCCAGCACTTGATTCATGGAGGGGCGGGAGGCTGCAGGCATGGTGGTGCAGGAGAGGGCAAGGCGAGCCCAGCGCAGCACCAAGTCATCTGGTGCGTCCAAATGAGGGTCCTTAAATGCCGATACAGCACCGGAGTCCACCAATGGGGTCACCTGCGAGGTTGAATACATATACCAGATGGAATTTGGTAACAGAAAATGTTTTTAGGGTTTACATTATGAGAGAAGCTGTGAAGAATTATGGATGGCAACGCAAAGAGGGATTGATCGCTGAATGATTTCAGGAAGGTGAATGCTTTGAGTGCTGATGTATAAGGTGAGGCTGAAATTGAAGTGTTCGTCTTAGTTAAACTTTGTCTTACTCATTCCAACACGTGTCCTGTTGGGAAAGTAGGTGAAGAGGACATGATCTGGCCTACATATTTTTGGCAAGGGAAACAGAAAAAGCATGAAGAAATGGACTTAGCAAGCAACCTCACTTCCTATTGCAGCTGAATTTCTCATATTGCTACAAGATCTGCTAGCCTTGGTGTGTTTCTTGTTCACTGTGTCTCACCCATTGTTTGAGATTGATCTGGTTGTCCTCTGTTACATGCACAGCCTTGCGTGCCGTGATAACCACCAGCATCACCACGCCAAAACTGCAACCCAGCAATAAGCAAAGGCATCATACTTGAATTTATGCTCAGAGGTACAAGCGTATAATAGTCAGGCTGCTAAGGTCAATATCTTCCCCTATAATTCCAGAAGCGATTGTAACCAAAGCCCCTATCTCAGGTAACCTAGCATCACCAAACTACTCGAGTGAGTGATAATAAATTCCTGGAAATGGCCTTAATGTCAGGCACGGACCTTCTTTGACTGTGAGGCAGAGGAAACGTAGAAAAGCCTTGCAAGCCCTAAACTCAAACCCCCGCCCTCTCCTCCCTAAGAAGAAATGGAAACTCATTTCTCATCAACTTTGGAAGCCCGCCTGAATGGTACTCTCATGCCGTTGTACTCATCTGCTGATATTCATGGCTTTCTCATGCCAATATGCTAATCTGCATGGATTCGCTAGCCTGACCTACTCTGCTCAACTGCATCAATCTGCTCATTTGCGCCAATCTACTCACCTGTGCACATCTGCTGCTGGAGAGGCCTTGTGAGTCTTGAAATAGGCAGGGTCCACATAGCCCGGTGTTCCCATCACTCGAGTGGCAGCCACAGACGTTCCCATAGCGGTGCCCCCACCAAGCTTCACGAGCCCGAAGTCTGCAATCTTGGCCTGCCCATGGACAACAACAGTACCTATGTGTAAGATGAGAAGCATGTTGATGACCCAATGCTGGACTGTTCAAAACATCAATTGATAGTTGAGAAAGGATGGACACGATTATGCAATTTGCACCATAAACAACCATGCTTTTAAGCTATTTGACGTGCCTGCATCTTTGCATCAAGGAGAATGTTGGCGGGCTTGATGTCACGATGCACAATGCCAAAGTCATGAAGATACTGCAACCCCTTTGCCACTCCAATCAGAACGTCCAGCCTTTGACGGAGGGAAAGAGGGTGGGAGACACCAGGACCGATCCAACTCTCAAGGTCGCTGTTGGGCATGAACTCATAGACGAGGATCTGCTCCATGAGTCGTGTGGAGAGGTCGAGGTCGATACAATAACCCAACAGACGCACGAGATGTGGATGGTGCTTGCTTGCCATCTCTTTCACCTGATAGGGGAAATAGTGAACGGACCAAAGGAGATTTAATGATTGGACTACCCGTCATCAAGGATAAAAAATACGGCTATCGTATTATACGGGGCGTTTTTTTCGATCGTATAATACGTTCAGATTAGCAAAAGTTCGGCCGTTTTTTGGTTGGCATTTTTTTGTGTCGGTTTTTTTTTCCAGAATTTACTGAAATGGCTACAACAAAGACTAGGAAGGCGATAACAACCTACTCTAAGGAGAAACAGGCATGCTAAGGTCCACTATTACTGCCGCTACCCTTACTATGCATGCATACCTAGGCAAGTACCGGCCTCTAGCCTATATCTCCTCCTAAATCCATCCCCACCTCACTACACTCACCCTCCCTTCTATTCTTCCTACTCCACCACCTCGTCAACCTCTTCCTCCTCCCTCCCCACTCTAACCGACGGGGCTGAATGTTGAATTTCGGTGTACACTTTCCCAGTTTTAAAATTTCGGCCGAAAAAAACGACCGTATTTTTAATCGAAATTTAAAATTAACAAAAAACCGTACTAAACCGTTTTAAACGACCGTATAATACAATTCCGTATAATACGGTAAAAAAATCAATAATCCGGTCGTATTTTTGATCCTTGCCCGTCATCCTAGTAGTTGGCAGAAGAAACTAACAAGAGACATGGCATTAACATATCAACAGTACCTCACATTATGATACCTCTCTTTGGAAGTCGTTGGTGAGCACTCGAGCTCGTTTGACTGCCCAGGCTTGATTGCAATCGTGGGCCGACACACCCTTGTAGACATCACCAAAGCTGCCACTTCCTATCCTGTTCCCCTCTGCCCACTCTCCTGTGGCCTTGGCCAGCTCTGTTAGGGAGTACTCTCGACACACGTATGGCCGTGCTGCATCCATCTCCACCACAACAACATCATCCTGCCTCCTTTCTGCTGCTACTAGTGGTAGCACTGCTGCAGCAGCTGTTGCTGCTGCTTCGGCTTCCCCTCCCACTGCTGCTGGATTCTTTTCCATATCCTCATAATTTGGTCTTGCAATGACATGTAAGAGTCGGTTAAAGAGAAAGAGAAGGGCAAGTGGCCACTCTGAAAGAAAAGAAGGGTCTGGCATCCCCAACAACCTACTCTGGTTTGCTAATGGCCCAAGAAGGACAAGCAAGCAGCATGGCGTCATTCGACAAAAACTGGCACATCGAGGTTAAGGATGGACAGATAGTCTGCAAGAAGTTGATTTCAGTGACACCCGTGGCGAACAGTCTCACCGACCCTTACATTACCATCTCGACTCGACTCCATAGCTGTGTGGCTGTTCAATGTCATGGCAATAGACCCTGACTGACACAAAATTGTAGCCTGGGTTTTCATCTTCCCCTGTTAAACCGAACCTGCCCAGTTCGACCCAGAAGCTACATTTCACTACCTAGTTTGACTTGGACCATTTCGCTTTGACCTTGAACCAGTTTGCGTTTGACTGGAAAAAAAAAAAAAAAAAAAAAAAAAAAGAGAGAGAGAGAGAAAATTGGTGATGTGGTTTCCTCATGCCTATTTCACATAGAGCTGGAGGCAAAAGACAGTGTCATCACAGATACTTCCGTGGAGCACCAGCAAGTATGGGATAAAGTGTTGTACCTGAAACATTAGACCCGGGCCGGAAATTATGAGATTCCAACCCAAAACTCATGAGTCAGTCCAAACCAAAAGGACTACCTGGCATCTGCAAGAACATGGGCTGGAATGTGGTGAGTAAGAACCCATGGATTTTCTTTTATAGTTGAATGTGTTAGTGATCTTTAGGCTTTGATGATACACAGAATTTACTTTGATTGCTTACATTGTGATTGCTTCATCTAGGCTAGGCGTCTACAATTACATCTTACCTTGAAAAGAACTAGTATTTGCTGATTTTTTGCCATCTATATCAGTGCCAGTTTCGCCTCCTCCTTCTGCCCCTTTGGTGTGCCATCGTGTGCACAGCAGCCAGCTCAGCAGCAGCAGCACGAGGACAGCCACAGCGCCAGCAACAGCAATGCCAGCTATGGCTCCGCTGGATAAACCGCCTCCAGTTTGGGAGGAAGAGGGAGTAGGCTCACTGGGAGTTAACGTGGGAGGAGGTGGGGAGGGGTTTGGCACTGGCGATGGGGAGGGTGTTGGCACTGGCGATGGGGAGGGTGTTGGCACTGGCGATGGGGAGGGTGTTGGCAGTGGCGACGGGGAGGGTGTTGGCAGTGGCGATGGCGATGGTGTTGGCACTGGCGATGGGGAGGGTGTTGGCAGTGGCAATGGGGAGGGTGTTGGCACTGACGATGGGGAGGGTGTTGGCAGTGGCGATGGCGATGGTGTTGGCACTGGCGATGGGGAGGGTGTTGGCACTGGCGATGGGGAGGGTGTTGGCACTGGCGATGGGGAGGGTGTTGGCAGTGGTGACGGGGAGGGTGTTGGTGATGGGGATGGTTTCAGCAATGGCGATGGAGAGGGTACAATCATGGGGTAGAAAGACAGAGATTGGGAATGGAAAAGGCAATCAACTTGGGGATGATGGTGGGCTTCGTGAAAGTGGATGTGGAATTACGAAACAATTTGCATGGGGAGAGGAAGCTAAGGAATGCATTGAAGGGTTGGAACAGGTAATCTTCAGTAACATCCACGAGGAGGCTTGCAAAAGAAGCACATAATGAGGAGTAGTTAAGCTGCGCTTGTTACTGTGCCTAACCCTAAACCCGAAAATCTAGCCAAGTAGGTGGCAATGCACTGTTTACCCACTCAGCACTAATGAGAGCAAAGTACAAATGGCAGTACAAAAAGCAGCTACCTGCATAAGGAGCGTATTACCTGGTGGAGGCTTGTCACACGTGGTGCAGAAGGAGGGGCACTGAGTGCAGAAAGCACTATCACTGGTCTGTAGGATGACGCAGCTGCCGTAGTTAGGAGGGCATGTGATTGCCGTTGAATTTATATCCCTGCATGTCCACATGGAGCGTTCTCAAATCATCACTCACCAACGGGCTTCTGATTTGAGTGAAACTGACTGAGGCTGCTGAAGCATGGTAGCATATCGCAATACTATACTAAGCCAATATTTTGAGTCAACCATACATGATTATCTGTGGCAGCTATCGCAAATGAAGTGATGTGCACCAGAAAGGTTCGATCGCTATCCGGCTAAAAAGAATTGGGTTGGACCAGCCCAAGTCCGGCCCAGCTACTTTGAATACCTGTGGCTGCACCTGCAACAAAATCTGGCCTTTGGTACACCATGGAATACATCCTCTTCGCGAAAGAAGCACATAATGAGGAGTAGCTAAGCTGTGCTTTTTACTGTGCCTGACACTGGAAAATCTAGCCAAATAGGTGGCCTTTGCGAAACGCTTCAAGGTTGCTATGATAGAAATTGCAAAATTTATATGCTAAGATGCCTTACAGGTACGAAAGAAGAGGAATATTGCCCAATGTTGGAGGGAGCTGGCCAGTGAGATTGTTCCGATTGACATCACTGCAATGAAAATGAAATATAATAGACATAATTTACCCAGCCAACGCACTCCTTATTTCTGATGGCAAACCAGGCTGCTTCAAACCCATGGACCATGACAAACCCCGTGTTGTCGGACAAAGGGCACATGATATCTGAGCATGCCCAGCACATATGATCTCCCACTATGTGGAGCTCAACATTGAGTTCAATGACAAGTATAGATCCGACTAAGCCGTCCAAGGTGGAAAATCACAATCTCAAATTTCCGATAGTACTATACAGCACCTTGTGAGAAACAAATGGCGTTCTTTTGACCTATGTGGCAAAAGACGCTCAAGAGGGCGTTCCAACAGATCAACCTTGAGAAGGAAAGGTTGTCAGCTGTTAGCGTTGGGGACAAGACGTTCCTTAAGAGGAAGGTGAGCTCACAATTGGGATTGACCAATTGTGAAGGACAGCTTAGACATTATTGTACATACAATTTGGGTGAGAGAAATCTCCATCGTACCTGGCCAGCCACTGCTGGTCATCATCATGCTCGCGCCGTGCACATCTCCCTACCCAGCCACGTGTTCACACGCTTGATCATGTTGGCAGAGAAGTAGATGGCAAGGTTCCTCACGGGGGCTTGGCCACGTAAATGGCGGTGGCAACTGTCATGCGTACTGGCTCCCAGATTGTAAGCCATGCCCTGCTAACACCATCTTTGTCCGTGTCTTTGGTGATTTGCACCGCTAGTGAGTGCTTTGTCGCTCCCCATCACAGAAGAAAGCTCTCTCCCCACGTCACCATGGGCGAGGGGGAGAGATCTCTCTCGCATCTGATCCGACGGACTGTGATGAGCCACGCCTGCGTGTCCCGGCTCACGCATGTCACGCAGGCTAAATCAGCTGCCCACTTTGCTGGTCTGCAAGTCAGCTCACCGTGGACTGAAACAACCTTGATGTGACACACTAGATTTCTGCCATGGCTGAGGGTGAATGGAACATAAGCACACTCCCAGGCAAGGGCGTCATGAGTGTATTAGCCATGTTCATATGGCTGAACTAGGGCATGCAAGGTCGGTCCAGCCTCTGTTGCAAACGGGCTTGCAAACTGGCTGATTGTGCCCGATCGTGCAAAACTTTTTTTTTTTTTTTTGTTTTTGTTTTTTTTTTTTTTGACGGAAAAGGCTAGCTGAGGTTTGATAAGAGGATTACTGTTTTGAAAAAAAGGCTCCCTTAGGTTTTACCAAATATGAGGGCAGCTTGAGAATGGTTGGATTTGGTATGACGAATCAATGGTAGCTATATCTCATGGTCGTGGGTCGTTGCCCTTCACTACTGGCTTGATACCAAGGAACATCACTCTAAATATCCTACTCATGTATGAAAAGAACAGAATCTCCCTAGCCCATGTATCATATCGTTTGAACATTGCAGGACTTTATTGTGAGGCTAATGTGCAGAGATCGGGGCAGACCCTGGTACACAGGAGGAAACCACTGTGAGTGGCAGGCTGGACTGGTGATGTGTCACCGCGGGCGGGAGAGATCTCCCTCGCAACTGTTCTGCCAATGTTGGTCACCGCCATGCACCGTCTCCCTTCCCGGCCTTGAGTTCCAAAAGTGGTTCAGTCATGTGGGCCAAAGTATACCTGCTTAGCGAAGCCCAAATGCAGCTTAATTTGTAGTTGCAGGAATGATTAGCCATGCAAATGAGAAATATCAATTAAAATCCTTGGATACTGACAGGAATTCAAGGCTAATCATGTTGCCTATGGTTGATGGAATCGAACCGCTGAAACTGTTAATTGATAGATTCTTGATGGTACATACAACCAAAGGGGGGCATGAAAGAGAGAGATAGAGTCAGTAGCTAGTAGGAGAGGGAAGTGGAAACAGAATGTGTAAAATCCATGAACGTTAAACTAGCACGTATAATAGCTTACGCACATGCTAATAGGAGGTGTTGAAAGTGGAAGTTGTTACGCTCAAATTCAAGTACCTATCCCAACCCAATACGTGCCTCCAAGCGTGAGCGCAAACATGTTTCCTACACTTGAAGTTCGACTTTCTACCACATTTTTAACAGGAGCAGACATCACAAGAATGGACAACAAGAGATGCCATAAGAGGGGCTGTTCTGTATGTTGCATAAGCACGCAGACATGTGTACACCAAAGCAGGGATGAAAAATATAGCCTGCAGATTGATGACAAGAGGCTGAAGTGGATCACCAGATAGACAAATGTGCCCAAGACGCTGAGCTGGGATGACCAAATATTAACATTTATACCGTGAATGCAAAATGGACAGCATCTTAACCATTGAAAATGTTTGTCCATGTACATGAGAAAACAAATTGGAGGCTCCACTTGTGGGGCCTGATAGCCTAGCATCTCTTCATAGTTGAGGTTGTGAATACCAACAGAGCTATAGAGAAGACGGAGATAATTGCGTCAAGGATAAGCACTCGAAATCATGCTTGCAGCAGTTACTCCAAGGAGGAATACAAGATCACAATCCCACATTGCGGATTCTGAGGGGAATCACAAGATTTTCTAGCTCAAAAGGGATGTATGCGATCATAGGAGAAATCAGGGCCGGTTGGATAAAAATTTATGTTCACAATTATACTGGTGTATATCTTGCTCATCTGGCAATGAGTGAGCGTTTGGAACACATTAGCCTTAAGAATTGTTATCTAGCGGATTTGACGGGAAGATGGTTTGTGATAGAAAATGGTGAGCTCACGAGTAGCTTAGGGTTTACCATTTCAGGGAGAGGCGGCTTTTAGTAGTTGATGAAGCTAAGACTCGATCAGGAACTAATGGCGTCTTAGAGTATGCTGGAAATCATGGAAGTTATATGTGGTCTTCTTGGGACTTTTCTCTTCATGACAATCTAATCTGATAATTTTCGCTTTCACTCCTTCCATTCCATGTATGGAGGATTCAACAACTCCCTTGTGCGGACCTTGTTGTGAGGCTTATGTGGAGAGTTCGGCAATAGACTCATCCCGACCCGACCCAATTTTCCTGACCCGGCCTTTTACAGATGGGTCATTTTCGACCCGGGCCCTCGGTCAGGTCAACCGAACTTGGGTCGGGTATTTATTTGTACCCTATTCTTGCCAGCCAATCTGAGCAGATCGGCGGTTTCACCCGCCGATCTGCCCGGATCGGCAAATTCCAAAGCTTGGTGCTGATTCACCACCGCGGTTCTGCCGTGCGGGCCAATGTGCCTCATACTTCTATGAGCTTAATTTCTTACGTGGGCATCTTCCGACTCACTCCCCTACTTGCCCGTCATCACAGGACTGAGCGCAGAGTGCTCGTTGGTCAACAGGCTGGTTTCGCAGCACGGGGCATATGCCTGCCATCCGGACGGGCCCCACACCCGCCGACCCTGTTATGGGTGCAATGTACCCGGTGCATCATCTGTGTTGGTGGCTGATACCTCAAGCCTTGGAAAAGATTCCCCTGGTTATGCTAGCATTGGTCCAGTGGGAGAATGGTGGCTGACTCTCTTGCCAGTCCAAGGGCACCTTCCAACCCAAATGCACCGGTTCAAGAACAACATTGCGACGCATATTTTCTTGTGAGATATGTGTGGCCATCATGATTATTTTTTCTACACCCAATATTACCACAAACTTTTATTGTCGGATCGTAAAAAAGGTCGCAAGGGTCCTGGGCATGCCGTACAAGGTTTGCGTAGGGCTGCGATTCAAGGCAAACCAATGCAGTTCGACCTTTGGCAAGCCAACAAATATCAAATCTTCCCGGATCCGGACAGGCCGGCCAATTGTTCAGCCCAGACCAAGTTTGCATGTCTGCTTATGTCTCGCAGGGAGTACACTACTGGTGATGCCATCCGCCCTTCTCACATACTCGTGCGTTGTTGGCAAGACCCGTCTCGTGGGTTTGAAAAAAGTTGGATGGCTAGCAATGGCCTGCTGCGTGGCTCTCACGTCTCATGTGTGACTACACGGCGTTTCGATTGGATTTTAGTCCCCTCACATACTGCAAAAAGCTGCGGTCTCGAGCGTGAGCTTTGGAAGATTGTCGTCGCCAACTCTAGCTTTAAGAGGAGTAGCTACAAGAAAAACCATACCAAGCTCGGCCCAACTCAAGTGGACAGGACATAGCTAGCAAGGCAAGGATATTACCCAATCCAGACCCTCCCGACCCCATTCCGGTAGTTTGAAAACCGATACGGTTCTCCCATACTTCCTGTCAAGGGTAGCACTAGTAACGTTGGAGAAACATGATTGTGCGGGAAGGAGACATAAGCTTAGCGGTCAGGCAAGAGCCAGCCCAGGTGCATCAAATAGGAGTATAGGGCAGAACCAAGGCCAACCCTCCTACCTATCCGGCCATGGCTGATTTGTTGCAAGGAGGTCATGTAATGTGTCTGCCATGCCAAGCATGTTAAGCCGTGTCCACACGGATTTGGCAGGCACGATGCTCACTACCAGCTTGATTTCAAAGATTCCCACTTTCATCATCCTCCCATGCATGGAATAATCATCCTCGAACATGTAACTTGTCGCCTGAATGTTGCTGGATCATATTTCGAGGGTAATGTGGAGATATCGGCCGTGGAAGAACCTGGTGCCCACGAGGTTACCAATGTGAGTGGCAGGCTGGACAGCTGACATAACGAGGCTGCCAGGAGAGATCTCCTGATCCGCTAATGTTAGAGACATGGAGATCTCTGTCGGGATAGAAAACATGGAAATCCTCCCAGTGTCACCGGCAGTCCCCCTGCTCGACTGTCATACGGCGCTGTGAAAAGGTGGGTCTAGCTGCACGTAGAACGTAGGTCTGCCAATCAGGCCGACCCGTTAATGCAGCTGCAAACTCTGCGGTATTTGCTGCCACTACAGCAAAGCCAGCCTTGGAGAATATATTCCTGGTGATGGGGACATTGGTGCATAGCGGGAATGGCGCCGGAATCTCCCCACCACTTCAGTTCCAGAGAGTTTTACGCTGAATCTCCTGACCACATTTGGAAGATTCAGAATCTCTCTTGCCCATACCTTGTCACTTGAACATTGCAAGGCCTTGTCACGAGGCTAATGTGCAGAGATCGATGGTAGACCCCCGGTTCCCAAGAGGTGACCACTCTGATTTGCGGCCTGGACTGGTGATACATCACATGAGCGAGAAAAATTTCCCTCGTATTTGCTGTGCCAATGCTGGTCACCACACCACCGTGCACCGTCTCCCTCCCCAGCCAGGGCGAAAGTGCACAATGCTTCAGCCATGTGGGCAAAAGTGTACTTGGTTAGCAAAGCCGTAAGTCCTCCTTTTCTCAGCAGCCGTCATCCCCTGCTCAGTTGACATCACAGTGCCGTGAAAAGGTGTGTCTCGCAGCACGCGAAGCGTAGGTCTGCCAACCGGGACGGACCCCACACTTGCCGGCCGTTGCTGCAGCTGCAAAATCTGTGGCAGTGGCTGCCTCTGCAGCAAATCCAGCCTTGGCAAAGATTTCCCTGGTGATGGAGACATCGGCGCAGCGAGGGAATCACTGAAATCTCCCCACGACTTCCACCCCCAATGGATCTCGAGTCAAATTTGTGCTGGTGCAGATGCTCCCTCCTCACACGAAGCTTCGTATGGGACCATCACGAGTCATGCACCACGGCAATGGGCTTCCTTTTTTCCTGCCACAGATAAGCACACTCCGACCCACTGCTGCTA